AAATGTTTGTTCAAGTTCTTTGCCCATTTTATAATTGGGTTATTTGTCTTTTTGTTGTAAGTTTTAGAAGTTATATATATATATATATATATATAGCTTATTATTTTTATATATATATTGCTTATTAGATTCTTGTCAGATATATGATATCTGAAGATATTCTCCCATCAGTAGCTTGTCTTTTCCCTTTTTTTTGGTAAAGCCTTTTGGTGAATGAAAATTTTTAATTTTTCTGAGGTCCCATTTATTTATTCTATCTTTTGCTATTTGTGCTTTTCCTATTATATTAGATAATCCATTGTTGAAAACTAGGCCTAATAGCATTGCCCCTGCTTGTTTTTTGAGAATTTTATGGTTTGGTTTCCATATTTAGGTCTTTAATCCATTTTAAATTTGTTTTTATGTATGGTGTGAGGCATGGTTCCTGTTTCTTTTTTCTGCATGTGGAAATGCAGTTTTTATTCTTTATTGAAGAGACTCTTATTTCCGAATCAAATGGTCTGTCACCTTGTCAAACATCAGTTGACCATAGATATGTGGATGTATCTGGACTATCAGTTCTTTTCCATTGTGTCTGCTGTTATACCAGTACTGGGCTGTTTTGATTATTGTAGCTGTGTAGTATGTTTTAAAATCAAAGTTCTTCTACTTTGTTCTTCTCTTTCAACATTGTTTTATCTATTCAGGGCTTCTTGCCATTCCATATAAAGTTGAGGATTGGTTTTTATATTTCTGCAAAGAAGTCTGTTGGAATTTTGATTATGATTATGTTGAATCTATAGTTTACTTTGGGTAGTATTGACATTTTAACAATATTAAATCTTCCAATCTATGAACATGGAACATCTTTCTATTTGTAAGTCTTCTTTAATCTTTTTCAGCAGTGTTTTATAGTTTTCATTTTGTAAGCCTTTCACATCCGTGGTTAGATTAATTTCTAGTGTTTTATTCTCTTAGACGCTTTTGCTTGTGACTTCCTTTCCCTGTCTATAATAGCAACGTTCCCCTCCCTGGTTCAATTGAGATTCAAAAATTCCGTATCTCGTTTTTCACCTTTCAATCTCTCCCAAACACAACAGAGAACAAGCCACCAGTAGACACTGCCACTCAGGTGAGATACTGTATACTAATCAATCTGATCACCAGGGGATACAATACGGTCCCCTGTCTCTGGTAATTACTCCCTTCCCTTCTGTGTTTCTGCAATCATGTTTTTAGTTAGAAAACTCACAACCAGCAAACCCTCTTCAGGGCAGGGTATTACCTCCAGTTTTGCCCAAGGTTTCCTTTCCTGCTCTGTGGGAGCTGCTTATATCTGAGCTAGCATCCAGAGGAAGAACAAGTAGACTTCTTTCTGTTTCATGAGGAAGAGGGGCTGACACTCCCCAGAACACTGTTTGTTTATTGTATTTGTAGGATAGGGTTGGAATGATGGTTTTTTTCATGTGCCATCCACCCAGCATTGGAAAGTTATTTCTTATTTCAAAAAAGTTTAAAGGAGAAGCTCATTGCATGCTCTGAAGAATAGTAGAAGTACTGTGCTATTCAGTATGTTATTGTCCCCTACTTAATTAGTTAGAAGTTCTGAACTTACACAGTGATAGACACAGGACCTGAAATACAGAAACTACACACTTGTGCCTTAGTAGAGCAGGTAGTGACACTTTAGTTTTTTGATTTCCCTAAAATTTGGAGATCATTCTAAACCTGTTCTTTTTCCTTTTAACTGATATTTTAAATCCATCATCTGATAGCTTTCATGTTTTTGTTTGTTTAAGAGAAGGTGTAATTTGACTTGCCAGAGGCTGAGATTTTTGCTACTTTTAAAAGAAAAATGTGGTTCTAAAACCATATTTTAATCTTTTAAATACACAGTTGATTGCTGTAAATGCATTTTATTCTTTGACTGTTTTAAATGAGCTCTTAGCTCTAGAATTGATTATAACAATGAAGCAGCCATAACCTAATGATTTTTTTTTTGTATATGTGTGTTTTTTAATAGGTTATTTCTGACAGACAAACGCCAAAAAAAGATGAAAGTCTTGTATCCAAGGCAATGGAGTACATGTTCGGCTGGTAATATAATAAAAGCTAAGAACTCAGCTACAAAAAAGTAGGTTGCTATACTAAAACAGCAGAGCACTGCCAGGTTCCTTCGGTTAGTTATATAACCACCCGTGGCGGTATTGGGATGCTATGTCATACTTCTTTTAGAAGCCTTTTTCTTTAAGGATACAGTATATTTGTAGCTCGCACTTTAAAAGATGCTTGAGATACATTTTTAAGAAGCAAAATATCCTTGTAAATAAGATTTTGTGCTTTCTGTGATAGTGCATGCTTAAGCACAAAAAAACAGCATTGATTACTGTAAATTATGTGATTGAGTTTGTTGTGAGGTTTTTTGGTCTTTATGAGAAGAGGGGTGAATTCCATGAAGTGGAACTGTACAGCTGCATCTGCCAAGGCGCAAAGATTATAATTAACAGTTTGAATTACGATCTTTTAATAGCATTTAATATTTTCATTATCTTTGCTTGTCTAAGTCCTGTTGTGGATTGTCATCTTTTAGTGTTTTAAAACTGAAGCAACTTTTTAAAAATTTGCTATTCAAGTACTCAAGTGTCTTGATAATAAAGTTTTTCAATTATATATATTGGACATTTTTGAGAGAGTGACTTATTTTTTAAATATTACAAAAACTTCTGTTTTCTGGTTCTGCATGCTTTTCTGTTCTCTATATTTTTTAATCTTGTTGGCAAGATTTGGAGGGTTGGTCAGATTCAGGTTTAATCTTACTGGCAAGACTATAGGTTATACAGTGTCCTTTCATCAAGAATCCATGAGTTTACTGGGGTTTACAAAAGGATGATACTCTTAATTTTATTATTTTTTCCATTTAATTGAGTGTTTTTGTGAAAAGACATTTTCCTTTCTCAAGTATTTGGTTACTGAAAGGTACAATTTATATCAATAAAGCAGAATATGTACTTATTTACCAGTTTTCAAGATAATGAATTGGTTCCCTGTCATCCTTTGGAGGTGACTAAAAAATTAACTTTCTTTAATTATGAACTCCTAGAATTTGATGTGGTAGCTCTGGTAGCGCAGTGCCTAAGGCACTTGACTGCTAACCAGAAGGCTGGTAGTTCAAACACACCAGCCACTCCTTGGAGGGAAGGTTAGGCAATCTACTTCCATAGTGATACTACCTTGGAAGCCCAAGGAGGGGTCGCTATGAGTCAGGTCTGACTCGACAGCACATAACAACAACAACAGAATAATTATTACACATATTGAAGCTCTAATTGTCCTGTGTTTGACTGCCAAGTCATTTTAACTTGACCCTTTCAGTCTGATCATTTCTTTACTATTTTCTATGACAGGGTGTTCTAGGATTATCTTGTTAACATTTTACGTCCCATACTAAAGATGAGCCATTTCTCCTTAATCCTTATTTCTCGATCAGTATTGCCTCCTTTTAAGGAAAATGGCTTTTTGATACTATAATCTGAATACTTGGAGTTAATCATTGCTATCGAGTTGATTATTACATAAAATAAAATATTTCTTGAGTTCCTACCGATAGAATTCAAATTCATGGCTCCAGTTTTTTTTTTTCTTTTATAAAAGTTTATTCTGTTAATTATTACATCCTTATTCTAGCAGGAATCTTGGACAGATAATAATAGAATTAGAACATACCATTTACTTTATCTCACACACACACACACATCAATCTCAGAATAACAGTGGTAATACTACTTCCATCAATATAATTGTTGATAAATATGTTTCCTGCAACAGTTCTTCCCACCTCCACCCTCCCAGTTTTTATTGATCTAGTGTATCTACATTGTCTGAGCATTTGGCCATTACAGTACTTTACCTTCTTCCTTTTAACTTTATTTAATTTGTACGAATAACTATATTTAATGCTCAACACCTGTTGTGTAGATACTGTTCTATTCAGTTTGTTTACCAAAACTCATTCTCTAGTACACTCTTCAGGAAATGTTCATGGAAACAGTATTTCCTGAATTATTACGTGCGAATAAGTTTTTGTCTTTTATACTTGAAAATCTGTGGTGTTGGGTATAAAATGGGGTTGTATTTTTCTTTGCTAAGTATGATAAATATGTAGCTTCATTTTCTTCTGGGATAGAAGTATCTATCCCTGAAACATCTGAAGGTAATTTAATTTTCCTTATAAGTTACATGCTATTTTTGCATGTAATTTTCTAGAATATATCTTGATATAGTGGTCATTCTTGGTCAGTATTATCAGATACTTAGTACAGTACCTGAGAATTTTGACCCAGACATTGAATTCCGAATCTAAGGTTACTGATACAGAAGATTTCCATTTGTAATATTAAATCTTTTAATTTATTTTTTTAATTTTGGGAAAGTTTCCTTGAATTATTTATTGTTTTTTCTCTTCCCTAGCTTTCGTTTTCTTCTTTAGGAAGTCCTATTATTCGTATATTGGATCTTCTTTGCCTATCTTCAGTATTTCTTTGTCTTAAATATGTGTTTAAAAGATGAACAGTCCATTTATTTTAAAGGATCATTTCTACACCATTTATGCATTAACTCTCTTCACATTGTTTTTGTTATTTGTTAGGTTGGTATTTAATAGCAACATAAGTAGGAATCTATTAGATTTTCTACTAAACTAGAATAAATTGTGGAGTAGAGGGATGTCGTCAGGAAAAATTATCTTTCTTAACTACATTTATTCTCTTAAAAAATACATGAATAGAAGAATTTAGACAAGATGTATTCCCAGTGTGGCATTTTTTTCAGAGCAAGTTTATAAAGATATTAATAATCATATTTTAATTTACATAGTTGTCTAGAATGCTGGTGGCATAGTGCCTAAGGCATTTGACTGCTAACCAGAAAGCTGGCGGTTCAAACCCACCAGCCACTCCTTGGAAGGAAGGTTGGGCAATCTACTTTCGTAGTGCTAACGCCTCAGAAACCCAAGGAGGGGTCATTATGAGTTGGATCTGACTCAGTGGCGGTGAGTTTTTTTTTTTTTTTTTAATATGGTTGTCACAATTTTATAAATCATAAAGAAATGTTTGGAAAATATGAAAATGTAGTAGTAGAAATGCAACTTATTATTTATAAATTAAAAAAAGAAAAGCATTGTCCTGGACATTCTGGGAGTAATCTTGTAATCTTGTCCCCTTGAGTAGGGGAGGTAATGTTATATTTTGTCCCTGTGTATGTAGCCTTTAGGACTAGGACCTGAATCCATGAGGGATGCGGTTTCAACACAAATGTAATTAATAACATCATATTGTTCTCAGTTTCCTTTGACAATAGGGCAACTTTATCCATTCAACCTAAACTTCTCTTAGTATAAGTTATTCCTCATGAATATCACCAATATCCCAGTACACATGATGTAGAGCAGAATTACCTAGCCAAGCCCTGCCTGAATTCCTGATTTGCAATGCAGATTCTCAGCAGGGAATCAAACTGGAATGAACCAGTTTGAATCCCTGTTTAGAATTGACTATACTTAAAAGACAAAAGCATTTTAAAAACAACATAAAACCAAGTAAAATAATTTTTGGCCATATAAAGTTCATTTAAAACTTTGCAATTACAAAATATTATCTCAACAGAAATCACTAGATACATTTGGTGACTGTGAATAGTTAAATAGCAATAAAATTTGCTAATCACTTCGTATATTTTGTTCATACTAGCACTTACTGTGTTTGCATCTCTGGCCCAGAGGACACATATGCATCCTTTAGCTCCAAGTTTATGCACATTGAGGGAAACCTCAGAGTAGTACATGCAGGGGTTGAGACGGTGACACTGGGAGGGACTCAGAACTCTTTTTGAAGAGGTGGATCAATGACACAGTTCTTTGAAACCTTTAAGTGGTCTGGCTAGTTCTTGGTTAGACAATGGAAGGTATTTTATAAATTTAAACCTTTTATCTTTTCTTGGTTGTTTCTTGTAAGTTTTCTTTAAGTCTTGGAGAATCAGTTTCCCAAGCTATAATTTCAGATGGAATTTAAATAGTTACATGTTGTACTGTTGCAGCAGCGTATTGAAACCGCATCCATGCTCCCAATACGTGCCTCCATCTTGTGGTGATTTGTCGGAAGTGTCCAGTTTACAAAGGTTTCAGAGAAAACTTAACAGAAGCAGGAATATCTGAGATAAAACGCAAATGCTGTATTAAGCTTTTAGAATATTGAAAACTTCTTTTTTACATTTTCATTCCTTTCCGCCTTTTTTGAGGCTTGATTTTAGTCCGATTATACATATTTAATTTTTTGTACAGGATAAAAAATCTTTTTCAGCAGAAAAGTATGTCATTTTTCCTTTTCAAAGGTTTCTTTTGAATCTTATTGAAAGGAATAGTGACTTGATGAACTGTCAATGTTTTAAAAAATATAAACTAGTAAGAATCAGGGAGATAATGATTTAGTATTTCAAGCAGCTGTACTGTAGTTTATATGACTGGAGTGAGCAAGGTGAAGAGTATTAGGAAATGATGTCAGAAATGATGAGGTCTCAGATCATGTAGGGTCTTTAGACCTTTAAAGGATTTTGGATTTTACCCTTTATGTTAGGCAAATAATGGTCCCTAAAATTGTCTGCATCCTAATCCCCAGAATCTGGGAAAATACTGTATTACATAGCAACAGAGACTGTGTAATTATGATTAAGTGTTTTGGACCTTGCAGTGGGGAAATTATCATGCAGTATTGTGGTGGGATCAGTTTAATCATGTCGTTGTTGTTTTGTGCTGTGGAGTCGGACCCGACTCATAGCGACCCCTCCTTGGGTTTCCGAAACAGTATCTCTACGGAAGTAGATTGCCCAACCTTCCTTTGAGGAGTGGCTGGTGGGTTTGAACCACCAGCCTTCTGGTTAGCAGTCAAGTGCCTTAGGCACCATACTCATATGACCTCTTAAAAGCAAAGCACCTTTCCCCAGCAAGCATCAGTGAGAAAGCCTCTGAGAGAGAAACAACCGGGGAAGAGCCAGGAGGGATTTGAAGCATGAGAGGGACTCAATCAACTGCTGCTTGCTCTGAAGATGAAGGGTTCCTTGAGCTAAGGGTGGCTTTTAGAAGCTGAGAGTGGCTCTCAACATATCCAGCAAAGAAATGGATATGTCAGCCCGAAACTGCAAAAAACAGAATTCTGTCAACAGCCTGAATGAACAAGGAAACTGATATGCCCTTTGTTGTTAGCTGCTGTCCCAGTGGCTCTTTATTCAGGGCAATGCCGTGCACAACGGTATAAGAGCATTATGATAGGGTTTTCACTGGCTGATCACCAGGCCTTCCTATTCTGTCTTTGTCTGGATGCTTCGCTGAAACCTATTCTGCATCATAGCAACATGCAAGCCTTCACTGACAGGTGATGGCTGTGCTGAGGTATGTTGGTGGGGAATTGAATCTGTGTTTCCCACATGGAAGACTAGGATTCTACCACTGAACCATACCTGCTTCAAAAAGGAACACATCTGTGCTAACACCTTGATTTGGCTTAGGGAGACTAAGCAGAGGCCCAACTGAGCTTGTGAGGCTCTGATCTGAGGGAATGAAGATAATACATTTACATTATTCTAAGCCACTAAATTGGTGATAATTTGTTATGACAGTAATA